GATTTGAGGTGTCGCATGATGGGTTTTGCTCCAATTCAGAAACTAGCCACTTCCCCTGGGGTACCCGGTACATGTCCGGATCTGTTCAATATAATCCTGGGTACTTGATATAACCACCATTGCACTTGTTTTTGCATTCTCATGTAATTGGAGGTGTCGCATGATGGGTTTTGGTGCAAGTCAGAAACTGGTCACTCCCCCCGGGGTACCCGGAACAATTTCGGATGTGTTCAATGTGGTTTTGGGCCCTTCATATAACCATAATTGCACTTGTTTTTGAATTCTCACGTAATTTGAGGTGTCGCATGACGGGTTTTGGTCCAAGTCAGAAACTGGCCACTTCCTCTGGGGTACCCAGAATGTGTCTAATATGATCCTGGACACGTGATATAACCACCATTGCACTTGTTTTAGAATTTTCATGTGATTTAACGTGTCGCATGATGGGTTTTGCTCCAATTCAGAAGCTGGCCACTTCCCCTGAGGTACCCGGAACATGTTCGGATGTGTCTAATATTATTCTAGGCTCTTGATACATCCACCATTGAATTTCTTTTCGAATTCTCATGTGATTTGAGGTGTCGCATGATGGGTTTTTGGTTAAAGTCAGAAACTGGCCACTTACCCTGGGATACCCGGAACATGTCCGGATGTGTTGAATGTGGTCCTGGGCGTTTGATATAACCAACATTGCACTTGTTTTTGAATTCTCATGTTATTTGAGGTGCCGCATGATAGATTTTGGTCCAAGTCAAACTGAACACTTCCCCTGGGGTACCCGGAACAAATCCGGATGTGTTCAATATAATCCTGGGCTCTTGATATAACCACCATTGCACTTGTTTTTGAATTCTCATGTGATTTGAGGTGTCGCATGATGGGTTTTGGTCCAAGTCAGAAACTGGTCACTTCCCCTGGAGTACTCGGAACATGTCCGGATGTGTTCAATGTGATCCAGGGTTCTTGATATAACCTCCATTGCACTTGTTTTAGAATTCTCATGTGATTTGAGGTGCCAGATGATGGGTTTAAAACGATTAAGGCCAATTACAGACCTACGACCCGATTCACCGGAACATGTTCCGACCATATCTCCGGAACAAGATTAGTTCTATGGGAAAACAATACCTTTCATTTTTCGGTTGTTGTGTCCTATTCGTTTCAGTGGTTGCCGAGAAACACGACTTAGTTCCCTAAATCCGTGTATTTTGGATCTTGTTCCGTCTATATATCCGCAACCAGATGAACGATTTCAAAAATATCCTTTATGGGACCATGAAACCTTTCATTTGGTGGTTGATGCGTCCAATTCGGTTCAGTGGTTGTCGAGAATCACAAACACATAGAAAAAAGGGTGTAACTTCAAGAATATTTCAAGAACTTAAGGTAATATCGGTCATGAGTTTTAGCCTTCTTCAAGGGTTATTGTTGAAGTCAATTTATGATGAGAAACCCTTTAAAACAAGCAATTCTTCCAGTCCCAGTCGTCACCATCACTAATTTAATCCGGAAAAAGAAGAATTTTTAGAAAGATTAAAGATCTTTAAGGTATGTTCTGAGAACTTCAGGGCAGTTCCATGAATTACACTTAAATTTCGAAGATCAAAGAACTTCGCGACAGGTTTATTAACTTCAAAAAAGTTCCAAGTACTTTACAAGAAATTCAAGAAACTCCAGAAAAATATAGGGGACTTTGAAGATCTTAAGGAAAGGTCAGAGAGCTTTGAGAATGTTCTGAGAACGTCACGGCAGTTTCATGAATATACGAATGTTTTTATTTTAAACTTCAGAAAAGTTTTGAGAGCCGTTCGATTCCAAGAACAAAATCCAAAAAAATTCAAAGAAGTTGGCAGTCCCATAAACGTCACGAAAATTGCGGAACCTTTAATGATGGTACTGGAACTTTAGGAAAATTTTGTGAACTTTATGTGACTTCCATTAACCACAGAAAAAAAAAGAGGGATCCTTCAAGAAGTTCTGAGAATTTTAAGGGAATTACAAGAATTTAAATTTCAGGGTAGTTTTGAGAACATCCAGAACTACGGGGAAGTTTTAACGTTCTTTATGTTAGGTTGCGATAGCTTAAGGGCAGTTCCATAGATTTTACGCAAATTTAGGTTACTTTAGTGAAGATCAAAAGCTTCAGGGCAGTTCTATTAAATTAAGAAAAATTTCAGTAGTTTTACAGGAGTAGCCAAAACTTCATTTGAGTTTGATGATCTTAAGGGATGTTATGTAAACTTCAGTGCAGTTCTATGAATATTCGGAAAATGCAGCAAAATTCCGAGGGCTTCAGATACATTTTGAGTAATTAAAGGCAGTTCCATTAACTCGAGTAAAATAGCGAGATGGCGAGAGAACTTAAGAAAAAAAAAATCAGAAACTTCACAGAAATTTATGAGAAATTCACGGAACAACAGAGAACTTCGGGCAGTTTACATATCTTTAGGGCAGTTTTATCAATTTCAGGGCATTCCAAGAACATCATCAGAAAACTAATGAGAGCTGCAGGGATGTTTCAAAAACTTCAGGACGATCCTCACAAAAATATTAGACACTATAAAGAAGTTCCGAAAAATGAAAGGAAATATCGAGGTTTTCGGGGAAGTTTCATGATCAGACGACGGGTTAACACTCCGAACACGATGCTTCCGGTAATATGTGTAACTGCATATGTACTTACAATGTTTGAACAGCTATTTATTGGTGAATTGCAAAACTATTGGTGCCATTTGAAACTACTGACTTTAAAGTTTCAATTTGCCTCCTTCTCCCTCTCCCCAACCATAAAATTGTAAATCTCTACTATCATCGAGACGACCGCGAGTAATCGGTTCAATTCCTTTAACCCTAGATTTAAGACATTAATTATGTAAAACGCAAATGATAGCTTGGCTCTGTAAAGTTTATTTGATTGAACCTGAACAAATAAATTAATACAAAAAATACCGGAGGCATCGTGTTCGGAGTGTTAGTAATGGTAGTTCCAAGAACTCATCTGGGAACTTCAGGGAAGCTTTGAGCACTTCAAGGCCGTACCATCAGCTTCAGGGAAATTGCAGGAACTTTAAGGAAGTTCTACGAACTTCAGGAATATCCATAGCATTTCAGGAAAGTTAAGAGAACTTCAAAGAAGTTCAGGGAACTTGAGAAAAAATGGCAAGTTTGGTCTAGAGATCCTTGGGGAAGCTCAGAGACCTTAAGGGCAATGCCAATAACCTCAGGAAAGTCCAGACTTGCGGGAAATTTAAGGATGAAGTTCCGGAAATTTCAGGAAGGTCCTGGGGTTTTCAAGGAAATTCAAAGCTTTTTAGGACAATTTTATTTATTGCTGGGCAGTTCCAATAACTTCAGAAGAGTCAGGGAAGATCAGAGATCCTCAAAACAGTTTAATTAACTGCAAGGAAAATGCAGGAATTTTACAAATTTTGCGAGATCTTCAAAGGCGTTCAAAGAACCCCAGAGAAATGTTGAGATTTTTAGCGAAGACAACATATCAAGAAGACTGGCAACCCTTCCATCTTCTCATACGTCCGGTATGAGACAGGCAGAATGGCGTCATCTGTCGCTCAAAGGTAAATGCTTCGATCGAATTGGATAGCAAAGGTTTAATTTTAGGCAGTTTAATTTTTGGCAGAGATTTTCCTTGTACGTAGAGCAGTTCCTGATGTTCTGAAAAACTATGATAAGTCCAAGCATTTCAGGAATGCAATAGAAACGAAAACTTCATGCAATTGCGAAAAATTCAGAGAAGGTGAGAGATTTTAAGGGAAGTTCCATGAGCTTCAGGGAAAAATAACTGCTAGGCCGTTCAATTTGCTTCAGGAAAAAGTTCTAAGTAATTCAGAGAGTTTAGAGAGATTTATTGAAGTTCAGAGCAGGGTTCTGCATTTTCGAAACAAAGAAAAGACAATGAACTCTCCACAGAATCGCTTCATTGGGAGCAATTTCATTTTCGTGTAAGTTAATGTGATTCATGCTATGGAGTTACGATGAACATTACTCTTATCAAACATGACTTGGCTATCGCTTGTTTCGTTCGTCAAGATCATCAGTTCAGTTCATTTGAAGCAGAGACCTTGTTTCAATTCACGCAATGAATGAATCGAAAACTGCCTCCTTCGAATGACTCGTTTTTTCCACTGTCACTTCAATTCGGGGCTTATTCGACTTGTCACGCGTTGCGTCGTCAGGCATCAACATTTAGGGGCAATATCGGTTGCCGATAGGAATGCCATCCGGATTATATGTAGTAATAAATTGTTATTACTGTTGTTATTTATTAAATTACTGAGGCCATTCTGAAGTCCAAGATGCCAGCCATCGGGCTGAGGAAAAGTCTCAAATACCCTACAGCATAGGTATTTTCTAAACGGAGATAACGCTTAGATGCTGAAAATCGACATTCGACGTATTTGTAGGTTATTCGACACTTCTTCTGAAATCGGGGGCCACCATCTTGAATTTCAAAATTACGTCGGACTTCGATTTCCGGCCTCTAGATATCCCCCTGATTCCAAAAACACCCACTTTGATCTGTATATAACAGTGTTTCACTCTTTTACTGAACCAAAGCTGCCATCTTTGATTTTAAAATGGCGTCAAACATCGTTTTCTGGCCTCTATACGTTACTGGGATTTCGAAAATATCCATAGGGATGGGTATTTAACGGTATTTCCCACTTTTTCTGAAACCAGACGTCGCCATTTTGGATTTCAAGATGGCGTCTGACATCGATTTTCGGCACCTACGTCACCTCCCCGTTCCAAAAATACCCAGATTGTAGGTTATTTGGCACTTTTCCTCAAATAGAAATCCGCCATCTTGGATTTCAAAATGGCATCAGATATCGATTTCATGACCTCGAAAAAAATTCTATGAAAATCCTATTTTTTCAGAAAAGGTTAATATTTCGTTAAGAGTTAAGATCAGATATTAAATTGAATTTTTACCAGATGTACTAACGCATTCCCTCAACTTCCAACTCTCCACTCCACAGAGGAAAGTACGGTATCGTTCGGCGAGCGGTAGACAAGAAAACCGGCGTCAACTATGCTGCCAAGTTCCTGCGCCGGCGGCGTCGTGGCCAGTGCTGCGCCAAGGAGATCAACCACGAGATAGCGGTGCTGATGCTGTGCGCCAACTCGCACCACATTGTGCGGCTTCACGCCGTGCACGAAACCCGCCAGGAGACAGCCCTCATTCTGGAACTGTGAGTATCCACCCGAAAATCTCTTGCTTAACGGACTTGGGACTGATCATTCGCTCTCTTTTTCACATTTTTACACAGCGCTACCGGTGGCGAATTGCAGACCCTGATCGACAGCAAAGGACAGCTTTCGGAAGCGAAAACTCGAACCTGTATGCGCGAGATTCTGCGCGCTCTGAACCACATGCACAAACAGTCCATCGCCCATCTGGACTTGAAACCGCAGAACATCCTGCTTAGCGGCGAGGATGTTGAAGGTAACTGCTTTCTCTCAAAAGGTCCGTCTCTAAAGATATCTCCTAAAACGTTTGTTTTTATTTTTTAGATGGTCTCAAATTGTGCGACTTCGGTATCGCGCGTATCGTCGAGGATACGGGCAAGATATACGAGATCCTGGGTACACCGGACTACGTGGCACCGGAGGTGCTCCACTACGAGCCCCTGTCGCTGCAGACGGACATCTGGTCGATCGGGGTGCTCACCTACGTTCTGCTGACCGGCTGTTCGCCCTTCGGCGGCGACAACAAGCAGGAAACGTTCCTCAATATTACCAAATGCTTGCTCACCTTCCCGGAGGACCTGTTCGAGGACGTGTCGGAGGATGCGATCGATTTTATCAAGAGTGCGCTTCGAATCAAGCCAAGGTGAGTAAACCAGCCTGCAAAGTCCTTCCAAACTCGTTACAATTTGATTCCATTTCAGGGAGCGCCCCACGGTTGAGGACTGCCTCGAGCATCGGTGGCTCAAGGAGGAAAGCGTGCGCCGGACCAGCGAAGCGTTGGCCGCCTCTGTCACAGCACAAATCGAGTCGGAATTCTGCCCCGCTGTGAACGGCCACGTTCACAAACAAACCATCGAAATCGTGCTTACCAATGGCCATAGTAATGGGTACAAATCCTCCGACGAGAAACCGCAGGAACCATCATCCCCGGTCGCCACCGCCGTCGATGAAGACGACGCGGAAACCAACAAAGAGAACGTTCTAGTACAAAGTCCCACCACCGGGTCCACCGCTCAGCAGCAACAACAACCCCAGCTGACCAGTGTGGTGGAAATCGTGACCGTTTCGCTCTTCCCGGACGCACCAACTACGCCGAAGGTCAGCCGCAAAGCGCCACCATCCGAGCAGCACCAGAACCACAATCACCACCACAATCACAATCACCACCATCACAGTCATCACAACACCAACAACAATAACAACAACAACAACAACGTGGTAGTAAGACACTCTACGACGGCTACATCGGTGACCGCCCCATCGGTCAAGGCTTACGTACAAAAGTTCCAGCAGCACCAGCACTGCGACTCGACTGCAGCGGTGATGCTCCCGATGGAGAACGGGTTCTGTTCCGCGGCCGCTGCCACCCTGTGCTGTCTCAAGTGCAGCGAAGAATCGACGACGGCCGGAGCGACCGCCGCCGGGTTGGCCGTGGCCGTTGCAACCGTTGCCAGCCGGAAGACGCTGCAGCCGTGCGGGGACAAGGGCATCATTTGCTGAGAACCGCTCGGCAGCACCGGGCGGCCCCTGGTGCGGAGGTAGTACTAGCTAGTAGTATGCAGCAGTGTAGTCAGAACGGGGAAGAAAGACCGCTTGAAGCGCGTCGGTCGGAGGATGTACTTATAAGGTGGTCACCGTCAGACTTCTCGGTTGTCGAGAAGTGGAGGAAAGAATACAAATACTAAGCGGAAGCGGAAGTTGATTAGCCGTTGCCAGTCGTATACAGTAGGAATCGTACAACAACCGGCGGTCGGAATTATTGCTTTAGCGAGTTAAGCAAGGTTAAGATGGAGTTGTAATTTGTTTGATAAGTTTTCTTCTTTTTCTGTCCTGTTCTCGGAATTTCTACTCAGTGGAAGAAACTGTTCTTCATTTTTGTTTTTGATAGTTTTGAATTGGTACTTTGGTTCTTTTTTTTTCCTATGAATAAATGGGAGCAATTGGATGATCTTTGTTCTAATTAGCGGCAAATTGCTCTAGAGACGTATTTGGAACTAGGGAGCTCATCGTTGGTGCAATGCAGTTGAGGATTTCGGAGTTCTGGCCTATTTGAAAATTCTCGGAAGATTGTGTAATCGGTATCAGTATATCGCGCTGGTGTGATTCTATGTGTCGCTCGCATGACATTGGTCATCTGGGGATGGATTCCGGAACATTCGGAATCTGGTGCACAGTGATCAGACCCGAAATTGGATATTTCAAAAAGGGTAAACATGTTGTAAATGAGTAAAGCACAAATCGCTGATGTGATGTAATATGAGGGGGTTAGAAGAAAAGGGGTGTAAGTGACTTTGATCGATTCTCTTCATCGACTTTCTCTTTTGATAGCGACAGCTTTATAAACAGATTTTGCGCTATTTTTGCCACATAGTTGGATAAAGGAGGTTCTCATCTAGCATCCAAAACCTTCTAACCCCCTCATATGTCACAAGATGTCAACAGAAAATTGGTCACCTAGAACCATGTTCTGATACAACCGAAATCTACAGCAATGTGAACCGTAAAAATTTGAAATAGCTCAAAAACAATCGGAATGATCCATTCTCTTCGGACCATATTGGGGCCCAAGTTGGCTGGAAACGTTTGGTCACCGTCAAAGACATGCGAATCGAATGCCTCTATTCATGTTGGGGTATTGTTTTAAGTTGCATCAAGCATACCACACTGGCATGGCACTGAGATTAGAGAATCCAAATAATGGTCAAACGGCCATATTGGCCAGACTCTGTTTTATGAAAATGGTGTTGGACCACTCGAGGTCATGCTGGTTAACTGGAAAGTTCTACTGGAAGGTCATTTTGGAGCTATCTAAACGGTTCTGTAGACCATGGCTTGTACATGTCAAAAGTTTGTGAATTGTTGACGCTTCAGAAAGGCGTTTCTCATCTAATGGTCCTAACTATTCCTAAAAATGATGATGATGATGCCTGACTTACATTTATGGTGAATTGCAACTCTTTGGTTTACACAATACAGTGGGATCCCCTTGGTGTTACTAAAGCCAATACCATTTTGGCGTTTGTAAGACCAGTCAACAATGTTGGACACTTTTAGGCAATTTCGGTTTTTTTTAGGACATTCAGCTTTTAAGAACACTATTTATGTACATTGAATATCATTTTGTCTGATTGTTCATGGCATATTGGTAATTTCAAGATATTTCGAAAATTTTGGGCGTCTCACGGCAATTGAATCCAACTTATATTTGAGTCCCGTTCACTCAAATTCGCAAAAGCGTAGCTCAATCATAGAATGAGTAAAAAATTGACTCATTTTACTCAAGTGTGAGTGACATTTACTCATCTATGAGTGACCTACGCTGGGTCCTTGATGAAGAAACTTCGGTGGAGGTGAACGCTCTACACTAGCGTAACAACAATTGTTGGTGTCCAACTCAATCATTCGATGATTGATCGACAGGGAACGGATCAGTGATGGGCACGCAAATCTTCACCGCATATTACGGACAACAGGTGAAGGGTACAAGTTCTTCCTTCATTATACAAATAACATTAAAACACACAAGTTTTGTACGAAACACAAACTCTAACTACACTACATTTATTCTGAACAGACTACACCACAAATTACAATAATATTTCTCGGTCTCGCAGGACCGTCTTCGACCTTGTGCCACTTATCAACTAAAATACAAAATATCCGTTATCTACTCTCTAACCCGATCCCAGTATCCCATCGTGTATGTGGTGAGTTTCACAAGAGATCGAATCGTAGACCGAATCTCTCGCTCTCATCGTCCACCTCATCTCCCGTGTGCTAATGAAAGCGAAAGTGATCTGGATCTACAATCAACTGCTGGTCGATCGATGGCCAGTACAATAGCCGGAGCCATCATCTGGTCGGCTGTTACGGTGATAGTATTGTGCTAGGGTGGTCCTCACAGACATGCTCACCCACCCAGAAATATCCGTTTCTGAAAATAAAGAATCCTCTTCGATTGGGATGGGATAGGGGAAAGGTATACAAAATTATAATTCGATATCGTGGGTCGACTCTGCAACAGGTAACAAACAAATCTTCTCGACTGGCCGCTTCAATACTCCTGATCCAGTTTTGAGTGTAACTACTCTTACAACACCGTCGCTACCGGGATGTACTTGGACAATTCGACCCATACGCCAACGCATCGGTGGTTGATTATTATCCTGCACGATGACGAGCCTTCCTACTTCGATTGCCGCAGGTGGATTCCATCGCCTTGATCTACCTTGCAGCTGGCAAAGGTATTCTCGCTTCCATCTATCCCAGAAGTGTTGCAACTGCTGCTGAACTGCCTGCCAATGCTTCAGTCGATTTGTTGGCACCGTTCGCAGATCTTCTTCGGGAAAAGATTGTTGAGAGGTTCCAACCAAGAAATGAGCTGGGGTTAACGGTTCGAGATCATTTGGATCGTTAGACATCGGTGTTAGGGGTCTGGAGTTCAAGCAACCCTCTACCTGAACCAGCAGCGTGTTCATATCTTCCAGTGTAACTGGGTTATAACCAATGACCCGTAGTATATGGTGTTTGGCCGATCGAACCGCTGCTTCCCACAGTCCTCCGAAGTGGGGTGCGCTGGGAGGGTTGAAGTGCCATTCGATCCCTTCATCAGCGCAGAACCTAGACACCTGATCTCGATGTTGTCTCTCCTTCCATAATGTAAACAGTTCCTGCAGCTGGTTTCGGGCTCCAACGAAATTAGTGCCGTTGTCCGAATACAAATCGGTACACCTTCCTCTACGTGCGATGAAACGTCGGAGTGCTTGCAGGAACCTGTCGGTGGACAAGTCAGACACCAGTTCGATGTGCACGGCCTTCGTACACATACATACAAAAATTGACACGTATGCCTTGACAGCAACACGACGTGGTCCTGGCCGAATATAAACCGGCCCGAAGTAGTCAACACCAGTTTTCGAGAAGGGGCGAGAAACTGTGACTCTCGATGCAGGTAACTCTCCCATGAATTGCTGCACCAGCTTTGGTTTCGACCTGAAGCACGTTAGACACTGATGGACTACTTGTCTAGCAACATTTCTTCCTCCTAATGGTCAGAAACGTTGACGGATCGATCCCAACAAAAGTTGCGGACCAGCGTGAAGCAAACGAAGGTGATATTGCTCAAAAATCATCTTGGTACAGCGATGACGTGCTGGCAGTATCATAGGGTGCTTGGTGGCGTCAGACTCTCTGGAATTCTTCAAACGCCCACCAATCCTCAAAATGCCTTCTTCGCAAATAAACGGGCTATACCAGCGCAAGGGTGACCTTCTGGATACAGGCTCATTCCTCCTAACAGCCTTCAGCTCTTCTGGAAACGCTTCTTTCTGGACCTTCCGAATGAGAACGAACTCCGCCTTGCGTAACTCGTCTGACGACAGGAATCCAGTCGATCGATTTTCCCTTGAGTTTCGAAGTGACCGCATCAATCGCAACCATATGGCGATGCACCGAACCAGTACTGTGTAGGAAGTTGACTTGGAAATGAACCATTCGTTGAACTCTTCAACCGCTGAAGCTGAGGTGACAACTGCCGTTCGTCTTTTTTCCTCTTCGAACACCCCCTCAGACAGAAGGTTCACTGAGATTGGCCAAGTGTTTCGATCCTGAGCTAGCCAGCTCGGCCCATGCCACCAAAAATTGTTGTTGAGTATCTCTTTCGGTCCGATTCCCCTCGAAACCAAATCTGCCGGATTGTCAGCACCCGCAATGTGCCTCCATTCGCAACCTTCCGTAATCGCCTGGATTTTCGCTACTCTGTTTGCGACGAATACAGACCAAGTAGACGGAGAAGCCTGTATCCAGCGAAGAGCACACGTTGAATCTACCCAAAACGTCGTGCGAACAGTAAGTTTGGTAGCCTGTAGAACCTTCTCGAGAACTTGTGCAGCTACCAGTGCACCACAAAGCTCCAATCGAGGAATTGATTGGGATTTCAGAGGAGCAACCTTGGATTTAGAAGTGAGTAGTTGAACCTTGACATTTCCATCCTGATCCTGGCTTCGAATATATAGACATCCACCGTATGCCTTCATCGACGCATCCGAGAAGCAGTGAATCTCGATCTCCATGGCTTGAGGAATGATCACACAACGATCTATACGGATATCGTTGAGGATCGGTAGTTGGACGTGAAATTTTCTCCAAGACTCACCCACCGTCGAAGGTATCGGCTTATCCCAATTTATCCTCTTGCCGTCTTCATCCTCCAAAGTCCACAAAAGCTGCATGAAGACCTTAGCAGCTGTAATAGTGGTACCGATGAATCCCAACGGATCAAACAAGGTGGCGATGATCGAGAGGACCTGACGTTTGGTGAGTACTTCGTCTGGATTGATCGGCGGAATTTCAAACTGAAATCGGAAAACGTCGGAATTAGGGAGCCATGTTAGTCCTAACGCCTTGACGGAAGGGTCTGGATCGAGATTGATTCCTTCGGATGCACGGATCGCAAGATTCTCTTCGGGAATTCCGTACAAGACTTCTGCACAGTTGGATGCCCATTTTCTGAGCCGAAAACCACCGCTGCTCGTCATTCCTTCTAGCTGAATCTGCAGCTTCTTGGCCTCCTCCAGAGTATCGCAGCCCGTGATCACGTCATCCATATACGTATCTTCGGTAATCGCAGCAACTGCCAATGGATATCGATCGCCTTCGTCCATTGCCATTTTTGCAAATTTGAGTGAACGTGACTCAAATATGAGTCAGATTCATTTGCCGTGTAAAAAAAAGTGAAATATTGCTCGAATATGAGTAAATATCACTCGTATTCGAGCTGAAATTTGAAATCGAGAAAATTTTACTCAGTTTTCGATTGACGGTGATTTTGAGAATTTGAATAAACAGAACGCTTTTTTGAGTGAAATTTATCCGATTCCTCGGAACAAGATCGGTCGATTGTAAAATTTCTCACCTGTAAATTTGTTTATGGATGAGGATTAATACAGTAGAAACCGAAAAAGGATGTCCAAATAGTTTTTCAATCCCATAATATGAGCATTTTTTTTTAGAAGATTAGCGCATTAGAGACTGCAAATGGATGTCCAACCCAACGTCAAATAACAGCTGCCGATTTGTTAATTGGTATTTAAATCCCACTAAGTATTTTTTTAATTCAAACAGTAGAGGCCAGGTATGAACGTCGGATAAATTTTCGAATTGCATTGCATTGTACCAACGAAACTTTCCAACAGAGAGGAGCTCCAATTTATCCAAATAGATGCCGTTGCTAAATCATTTGTTCCGCCAAAATTAGTTTCCTTCGACTGACTATATGTTTCTCTAGATAATTGCTAATTTGAGGTTATGTTTCTCTAATTTATACGGCACTGCGCCAACATCAAACGTAACCTCGAAAGCAATTGAAAAATCACCAAACAACGTTAAAACCAGAGCCCGCGGGCTCTGATTGGCAAGGTTCCTCCCCCTGAAAAAGGTGCCTTTCGGCCTTGCTTTCGACCCATGAGTCGGAAAATCTACCCGGGGCCATCCACCCGTTTCAAATTTATTCTACTTCTGCGCTACCTATGATTGAAAATGCCTTCCAAGTATAAAAACAAACGGAAAGATTTGAAACGCATCTGGCTGCCTTAGCTTAAATCGAGAATACAAAATTTTAGAAGGATGTTAACGTTAAATATGTAAACATTGGAGACAATTACTCTAGTTGATAGGCGTTAGCGTTGCGTAAGCAGCTTATGTGTGCGTGTGTGCGGGAATGCGAGTGAGTGTGTGTAAATATCTAATCCCGAACAAAGGAAGCCTTTGTAAATTTGTTCTTCTTTCTCCCTCCCGCCTTCGGCAAACAAACAAATCCATCGCTACAAAACAAATTCGCTAACGTTAGGATTTTAGGTTATGTTTTAATTGAAAAACAACGCTTTTAACTTATTTGTTTATTTGTCAAACTACTTATCCTTCTTTTGTTTTGTTTTATTTTATTTTTTTCTTCTTTTAGATAAATACAATACTACTTAGGTTTAGAACCGTTTAAGTCAATTTCCTTTTACATACGTGTACATATTAAATCTAACTGTTTTACGTGAATTTTACTCCTTTTTTTTCCAGTTTACTCAACTGTGTATTTTATCAAACTACGATTTTATCCCCGCCCCTCCTCCCCTCCCCCATCATTGCCCCAATTATTTAAGTTTACTTTAGACCAACTGCGAATGGAGTTCAAACTGACCTTCTTCTTTTCGTTTTTTTTTTTGGTTTTAAATCGTAAATACCTATTCTTATGAAACCCCGAGAGATGAAAAAAACTGTGCGCGATTTACGGTACTAGGTTCTAGTAGAAAAGGCGCGCGAAAAGACAAATCGAAACCCAAGCGCTGTCGTAAAGTGACGAGAGAAAGCTCGAGAAATGAATGATAGAAAATGGAATGTGAGTCGCAAATAGACTTTATTGTAAAATTATGCAAAATAACCGATTGATGTTAGATTGTTTGCACTGTGTCTAAGACTACCGAAAATGTCCCACTCGAAGGGAACGGAATTCCACACTCGTTTCGATTTTAAATCCAATCGTTATTGCACTTGGAGCTTTAGAGGTTAGGTTCTTAAAAAAAAAAAACACAAACAGATTTGCCATCTGCTTTCAAACGATATCCGATGGCGACGAGGTGAGCGATGTCGCCATTAGTTGTGATCCGCCATGGTTCGTGAGGACGTAACTGGAAACGCTCTTGGTCAGATTGAATCCCGGTTCCCACTGCTGCTGTTGCCCTTGAATCTGCTGACACGGAATCAGTGCCGAACTCTTGTTCATCTGTTCCGATAGGTCGAGCATTCCTAGCACCGTTTCGATAATCTCCTCCTGCTGCGGCGCCGGCAGCTTCGTCACTCGCTTTCCCAAAATCTTGAACAACTCAACCGTTTCCATCACGTCCGAACTGCTTTAAATCCTTTCCCAAACTGACTTAATCTTAGAATCTCAAAAGCCTTCTACCCGAGCTACAGCCGCTCCAGAACTTTCCGCATGATCGCACTCCGCTCGGAAACTACCTCTACCAAAAACGTCAATGTTGCTACCCCCAATCCAATGGCGAAAAAAATATACCCACTGAAAAGATGTCCGTTCGTGAGCACCATCGCCGGTTCATCGTCCAGCGTCGTCACCTGGTACCTGCGGTTCAGCAGCTTGGAGTTCCACTTTGCAATCAATCCTCCGGCCAGCATACGCCGCAGCAGACGATCAAACTCCCGCACCATTGGAAACGACCGGCGGAAGTACACACTGTAGTGGAAAATCATTATCTTTTCGCCGGCCACCCGAAAGTTCAAGTAACCCGGATGACGCCGATTGAAGTCAACGATCTCCTCCGGGATGGAAATCAACGCGATCCTGCGCCGACTACGAATAACCTGCTCGAATCCTCGAATGTACTCTTCGTCGTTCAGAAGGATCACCGTTCCATCCAGGCGGAACGTTTCCTCGAAGAGCAGATTGTACAGGGATTCGGTTACGACGAAGCGGTAACCTCCTGCCATCATAGCCTGCAGGGTGCTAATGTCGTTCAGGTGCCTTTTCTCCGTCAAATGACTGATCATGGAGCCTTTGTAGCTCTCCCGAATCACCAGATTGTAGTACAGCAGCAGGAACAGCAAAAATCGAAAGAAGTTCCCTCGCGGAATCGACGGCAAGGAGTCTCCTATGGTTGTGCGATACAACGTCAGTACCGGATGATGGCTGAAGTGACCAACCATCGGACAGCTTAGCGCGACAATCACCACGTAGGCTGTTCCCAGAACCACCACCATTCCGATCCAAATCCACGTCCCCAATGGATTAACGAACTGCTCTAGCGACGACACCTCCGCCAGTTCCTCCGGAACTACAAACACAAAATCCGTCATGTAGTACCCGAAGGACGCACTCATAAGCTCCATTAGCCGCGGATACGGCACGTATCCGCCAATGGTGCAGTCCGCTTCGTTCCGAATCACCAGTCCCATCGCACCCAAGCCGGATCCGTTGGGGAAGAGCCGTCCCCAAGAGTGACCATCTGTCGGAACCACAATCTCAATCGAGAAGTTCATCCTAGTCGCGATAGTTCCCAACAGTTCACCTTCCACCCCTAGAAGTCTCATTCGTTCACCTTCGGAAAACACCTCAATAAACGGAAGCCGCGTAAAAGTCGCAATCCGCAACGAACAGCCGTGCAAATTCCGCACGTAGTTATCGAACAACCCCTCAAACCGTCCTTCCTCGAAAGCTCCCGCCTTGCATCGATCCACAATCTTCGGCACAACGCACCTGCAGCAGTCCTCCTGGAACGGTTCGTATCCCACCATCACTACCTCCCGTTCCTCACCTTCCATCTCAACCAGCAAAACCACATTCGTAACACCCATATCCCAAAAGCGATCCAAAACTTCCTTCCAAACGAATTCCCCCGTCGTCAGTACGAGTACGAAGTGTCCCCGGAACTCCACATTCAACTCTCGAACGGCTTCGATCTGGTTTGCGAACGATTGCATCGCATCCACAATCCAAACCACCAACTGACGGTGGTTGAAGTCACGCAGCTGATCGTACGGTGCCAAGTTAACCGTTATCCGGGGGTCATTTCGGAGCTGAATAGATTCCAGTAAATCGGGAGAGGCACCGAAGAGGTTAACTTGGTAAGCGAACCGTGCCACGTTTCCGGTGATTAGGGTGGATAGGCAAACGGTGAGGTCGTTTGTACTTTCACTGGGGGTAAAGAAGCTCGCGAACACACATGTGACCGAAAGGAGGATGAGTTTCATTGCGTCCACTTGGATGGTTGGGTAAACTATGAATTCAGGATTCGGTCGAGTGTTTCAGGAAATGGGTGCAGGAAATCGTGACTCGCCACAAGAGTGTGGTGGCATGACGAATCAGAACCTATTAGCGCCAATTATGCGATTAAATCTTCCCACCATGTGGAGGACAGTTTGAATCAGCATTTTTAGCGAAACGATTCCCAGCCGATTTGAGTTTTATTGCTAGCAAGATTTATTGAATCCAAGAATACAGCGGTTTCTTGTGTGAAAGATTTTCAATGCACGGCCAATCAGAACACCTCAGCGAAAAAAAAGTCAATTGATTTAGTCGCTGAGTTGTTCTGGTTGGCCGTGTGACGGCTGATTAAAGCAACACTCAAATTCGCAAAACCGTATTTTTTCCGTGAGAGGAAAAGAGATAGCAATACAATTTTACTCAGTCACTGAGTTAGGTTGAACGGCCGTGTAAGGGAATGGAAATTAATCTCATGTTTAGGTTAGTGTTCTATAGGGCCGTGTATTTCAGACGGAGTCAGAGAGTGGGAACGTTTTGTACACAATTTGAACTAGTTGCGTGCAAGTAGAAAGCTGTTTCCCTTAGCCGAGTCACATGCATCGTCAACATGAGATTAACTGACAATCTCGTTAACGATGCTCAAGCTACATCAGCACGAGTGTCATATTCCGGTCGCTGAAACTGCCAGAGTTAGGCGAGATATACAGCTTTTCCATAATGCTGGAGATCAACAGGAAAGCGATCCTGATCCATGCATGATCATTGAATAGAACAATGTAGAACACTAGGTAGGACACATGTAGGTACTGAAAAGTGCTGTTTAAATTTGTTGTAGCTTTAGGTAGCAGTAACACTTCCTTCAGCAAGAGAGCACGATGCGGACTGGCTTTGTGTTTGGTTTCTTCGTCTCGATGAGTCTTATCGGAGTTGCCCACCATCGACAGCCGATGGAACTCTAGGCGAAGTCGAAGTCATCACCGTTAACTATCTGGCAAGAACTCACTGATGAGACAATGAAACTGACCCTTTCCTCAAAAATGTCACCCTTTAACCTCGAGTGAACTGCGAGTAATCGGGTCAAGTGTTGGCAAAATCATCAACCAAATAATATTTTTCCGCTCTCACATGCTCTCAATATCACGCGATATTGATTTTACAAGCTCCTTTGATATTGCGATATTGTAAAAATGAAGCTGAAAATTGACTCGACACAAAAATGATTCCGTTGAACTTAATTTATTATTACTTATCAAGTGACAGATATGCGTCTTAACAACTTGAGTTCTTTTGAAATTTTAATTATTATTAATTACAGTTCCTAGTCCTATCAGGCCTGGTTTAAGAATGCCTTGGTAGGATTGGTTTGTTATAAATTTGAAAAAGGAGACTACTTAAAACTACTATTTACAACTACAACTACTATATACATCTAATCTACTATATACAAATTGCTTATCAATCTGGAATCTATTTTGGGAATGCCTGCCTCTTCGTGTAAATTTGTTATTCTATTGTCGAAAGGACGATCAAGTACCACTCTATGCTGAGCGACCTGGATTTTGTTCCTGTGAATCTGTGCGCATGATTCCCATGTAGAGAATCGCAGGTGCTATGATTTGTTTGTAGACAGCCAGTTTGTTCACCCTGCGGGATCACGTTTGCGGGATCTGCGGCAAATCAGCGGATACAGACACCTAACCAAGGCAGAACACTTGACTAGTTATCTCTACATGTGAACGGAAGAGGAGCTTTTCATCGAACAACATCCCGAGATAGGTTACTTCAGCAGACCACTCAACCCTTGTGCCATCCATGATTACAGTACAAGATGGAGCCGGTTTTAGTTTGGGCGATTGTCGATGGAGGAACATGATCGCTTGTGTTTTGGAGGCATTGATTTTAATTTTCCACATGGTGGAAAGTGCAGTTCGTTGCGATAATCGTCTAATTAGAGCATATTTTGTGTTGTGAAAACAGTGAAAAAGTTATCCAATCAGACATATTGTAGTGTATACTGTCTAGCATTGGGCGATCTTGAGAGTCCAATTCCTCTTTGCGTATTAGAGCATCTCCACCGCTGTTTCTAAATCACTTTTGGAAACTGAGTCAGCATGACTTCCGCCTGTGACCAATGCGCTAAACCAGTTAAAGGCGATGAAGAATCCGTCTCATGCATGGCTTTTTTGCGACAGGATGATTCACCTAAAGTGCGGGTGCAGTTTCGAACGCATTTGGATACGGTTGTATTTTAAGTTTGTTCTCTGTTTTGTGCGTGCGTTCGCTCTCATAGTTTTCGCTGGCGCTCTGCCTCCCGGACGTTTATACGTGTGTGATTATTAGTTTTCTCGCTTTCCGGGAAGTTTTAGAATAGAGAAAGAAAACGTGATTCAACATGTTTGCAAGCATCAGAAGAGATGTCGCCATCTGCGTTGTTTGATTTTCTCCCGGACCAGAAATTAGTGGCATCGCGAGTGATAATTTTTAATTTCAGTTTATTTACGCGCTGCAAGGTGCGTGAAAGAGCTCGGCACAATCGGTGTTGATGTTGGCTCGCTTGTAACTTTTTTTGTTGTGTTTTCGAAAGAAATTGATCGAAATTGTACCAAAAGTGCTTCTGAACATGTTTCGCAGTTGGGTGTGGTGAAATTCGTGAATTCACGGTTTATGTTCAGTGAAAATTCCATGTCACAAAATTGCTCACCGAATTTCCTTGTTTTGCCGTTCGACGACGACGGGTTTGCGAGAGAAAAATAAGCATCGGGAATTTGCTCCCAGATGTATTGATTTGGTGAGTACGTTCCAGTTGAAGATTGTTCTTATACATATCTCGATTGCATTTTCGAGGGGACGTTCGGAGAGCTTTGAGATTTAGGCGTTATTGCATTTGCCGGCAGATGAGTTGGTCGCCGGTAAGGGCCAGTAAGTGCTGCCAGCAGATGAATCAAGAGGTATTCGAAACAAAATTGATAAGAAATGTCCATTCAAATCGATTTAATACAGCTGAACATATTTCAAAACTATATACGTGCCAGATTTGGAAATAATATTTTTTGAATCTGGAAGTGTGTTTATGATACCATTATCCATTTGATAAAGGTAGAGTGAACATGCGGGGCTTATTGTAAGTGAAAGTGACCTCGGAGTGGTTGTGAATTACCAGGCATTCTGAAATGGGTCACTGGAGCTGCAATAGAGCTAACACCTTCTAACTCCCGGACTAAACCTGCTTTAATTTAAGGGTAATAAAAAGCAGTTTTCTTCCATAATAACACTGCCGGACAGTGGGGGTTAGATTGTACACACACACACACACACACACACACACACACACACACACACATTGATTTTAATTTTCCACATGGTGGCATAATCAGCAATGGCGTTAAGGCATCGTTGGAGTTTGTTCGTTATTTCACGAGGCATCCTTCCTTTGACGGCTATTGCGGTATCATCTGCGAACAGGAAAAACACGCATCCGTCTCCGAGGGAAGGAATGTCGGAAGTGTAAATGCTGTAAAGCATGGGGCCCAGCAGACTGCCTTGTGGGACTGCTACTGGGATGGAAAACGTGTCTGAAAGACAATAATTCAACGATACCTTAAATGACCTTTGCTGGAGGTAGTTACGGGTGATTTTAACCAGATATAATGGGAAGTTGAAGTTACAAAGCTTGTACACAAGTCCGTCATTTCAAACATTGTTGACGTCTAGTGGTAGTTGACATGGCGGTAGTATTTACGCAGGCAACTTCTAGCAGCAACCACGTTGGCACCAACTTCAGTCACCACCGGTTGGTGGTCGGAGCTGAGATCGTTGTGCGCCTCCGGTTTGGATAGTCCGATGTTCGACAGGAAAAAGTCCAGTGTACAGTCCATGTTGTGCGTGTTCAAACAATAGACATCGGGAAAGTCCTCCGCCCTGAAAGCCGGAGCTTTATCCTTCCTTCGTCCTGGTTTATTGTCGGTGGACGCCTGTTTTCGGATGCGCTTGAAATCCTCGCGTTTAGGACACTGCTTGTCGGATGCTTGGTGAGCACCACCACAGTTGGCGCATTTGGACGCCACAGCTTCATCCGCAGCACATTCGGAGGTGGCATGGTCTTGAGCGCAATTGCCGCAGCGTGGCTTAATGTTGCAGTTTTGGGTGCCGTGTCCGAAGATCAGACACCGTTGGCACTGAGTCACATCACGATGGCCGCCACGGTATGGCTCCCAGCGGAAGATGATCGAATTGATGGAGCGGATGGCTTTAAGCGCGTTGAGCGTCACCGTTACCTTCTGGAAGTGTACCAGGAAGAGGCTATCCGGATACGCCTTCACATTTTCGTCCTTCCTTGTCATCCGATAGACGGCACTTGGGGCCAGCTTGTACCGGTCCCTGATTTCAGCTTCGATAAACTTCGGGTCGAAGTTTGGTAGGCCCCTGATGACGACCTTGAATGGTTTCTCACCGGGAATGTCGTGGGTGAAGAATTCCACCTTGGAAGTCCTCAGGTGGGCGACGACCAAGTCATACTCCGCTTTGGTACGGAGCACCACCTTGGTGCCGACTCTGCCCAACTTGTATTCGGATTTAACGCCCAGCGTCGCTAGATCTGCGATGAGCTCATTAAGATGGGCATTTTTCACTACCAATGGAGGTAGCTTCACTTTTGCCGCACTCGGGCCGGCAGAATTTTCGTTGCCGATGGCGTCGCCGAAATCACCGATGTCGCTGGCGTTCGTCGCAGTGACATCGGATTGGCCTCGATTCTTTTTCCTCTTCTTGCTGCGTTTTTCCAACACAGCTGGCTGGATATTCCCATCCATGGGGAGAACAGCAACCCTGTTCGAGGTAGGCACACCGGAGTTTCCTTCACCGGGGTTCTGGACCTTCGCCGGGCTTCGCGACAGATGCTTCCCCATTTCGGGGCACACACACACGCACGACAAACCGCGAAAGAGAGAGCGCGAACACTATCGCCACGAACTTTTCAAACAACTCGAGA